CCCCCCCTTTTTCTCCACGTTTCTCTGACCTCTTCTCATCATTTTTACAAGAAAAAATGACATTGTGACAACACAATGTTTTTTACCCCGTTACTCGGATGGCCAGCTTGTTTTTTGTCCCCAAAAACTGCTCGATTTGTTAAAAAATAAACTAAAATAAAATATAAAATGATGATTTCGAAACACGTTTTTCTTTTCTTTTTCCCCTGTTTCTACGTACCTGGTCCCGAAAGCCATTGAACTTGATCTTGGCACCAGCCTTGCGCCTGACTGATAACTGATTGCCCTTCGGTATTTTCATCCAATAGACACCTGCCACGTCATTCTTCGCCACCTCCACGACTTTACCACCTCCTGTTTTTCTCCACAGAAAACCTGTCGGGTGGATCTTCAGCTGCCCTGGGTTCTGAGAGAAACAACAAGAAACGCATTTGCAAGTGAAACTAATTTAATGAAGAAAAGAAAAAACGCCGAGCCCAGGGTGGATCTTCAGCTGCCCCTATTATCAAGGAGATCGTAGAACGACTTAAAAAAAAGGGCCAACGTAAACAAAAAGAAAGAAAGCCACAAATCACCAAACGCACAAAAACAGAGATAAACGAAAGAACAGAAAACACATTACTAATTTATCAAATTATTACCATATATTTCCGATTCACTTCCTAAGCAATTGTTATTATTCCCTCGCAACTCCTGACCCCTACCCACACCCCCCCCCCTCCCGGACCCGTATTCTCGTCCGTGTGCGTCTCCTCACCAAACCTCCCTTTCTTCGCTCCGTCTTCTCCCTCCTCCTCCTTTCTCCCTCCCTCCTTCTCCTTCTCCTTTATCCATCTCCTTTCTCCTTCTCCTTCATCCATCTCCCTTTCTCCTTCCCCCATCCCCCCTTGTGCTTCTCTTCACCCCTTTCTTCCATCTCTCTACTTTCTTTCCCTTCGCATTTTTTCATCCTCCTTTCTCAATCCTCCTCCTCCTCCTCCTCCTCCTCCTCCTCCTCCTCCTCTCGGGTTATGATTCTGGTCATCCAGGTCCTTCATTTCTCACTCCGTTGACCCTCCCTTCTCTCCCCCAACTCCTTCCCTCCTCCCTTCGTCTTCCACCTTTCTTCTTCCCCCAGTCCTCCCTACTTTCCTGCTCCTCTCTTCCTCCTTTCTTACGCCCTCCTTACCTCCTCTCTTCCCCCTCTCTCACTCCTCCATTCCTTCTCGTTTCCTTCTCCTCTGTTTCTCATATTTTACTCCCTCCTCCTCTCTTCTCTCTCTCTTCCTTCGCTCTCCTCCTTTCTTCCTCTCTCTTCCTCCCTCCTCCYCCCCCCCCCCCTTCYCCCCCMMYCTCCTCCTTGCTCTGTTTACTCCTTCCCTCCTCCCCCCGGGCTGAGATCCAGGTTACATTCATCCAACACCTTTCATTTCTGGACATTGATGTCAGAATCCTCCCCCTTCTCCCCCAATCTCCTCCATGCTCTGTTTACTCCTTTCCCTCCTTCTCCCCCCGGGCTGAGATCCCGGTCACGTTCATCCAAAACCTTTCATTTCTGGCCATTGATTTCCGAATCTGAGGTCGTAAAGGAATGCTCCAAGTAACTGTAGGGTATCTTGGATGTTGCCCCCGGGCTCTTCTTCTGCTCCTTCGCTTACCAGCCTTATCACCGTCTTTCCACCGAATAGAACGCACGGTGATTATCGCTGTACGCAGACTGAAAGCTGCCCCAAATACAGCTATCAAGACCGTGCGTTCTACTCGGGGGAAGACGCTAACCTCCGCACTTCCTTCACGGTTCACTAGCATAGCATTATCTTCCTTCCCCCCGCTTCTTCATAACCCTCAGGAACGACCATCGATACTCGTTGCTGAGGGAGTAGAACGCACGGTCTTTTCCTTTTACCGACAATGGCGCTGTCCTTGTTCAAACCCAACAAATTTCTTCTTCATGACCCTCAGTAACGACCATCGATATCGTTGGATCTACGGAGATGGAACGACGATTCATGGATGTTTCATGGATGTTTCATGGATGTTTCATGGATGACTCATGGATGATTCATGGATGATTCATGGATGGATGGATAGGAGAATGATTGATGGATGATTGATAGCTGATTGATGGATCATTGATAGATCATTGATGGCTGATTAATGGATGATTGATGGATGATTAATGTATGATGAAGGGATGATGGATAGATGGAAATGGATGACTATGGACCCAAAGAAAATACCCAGCGCCTTTGCTTTTGCTTACTCTATTATTATTAGGCAGGCTGTGTCATAAGACTCGTAACAGCTGATCGAGGCCGGCGATGGAAGGACAAGCACGACCGCATGCACGCAGACAGTTGTGCAAGTCCTGCAACCCTTCATCTTGATTGGTCTAACGATTCGTGAGCGGCCGCCGCAGTCACGAAAGACCTAAAGAAATCACGGTAAAGAAGCCACCCCTCGTCGCCCCTTTCATCCGTATAAAGGGAGGGGGGCGGAAGAGGAGGGGGAAGAGGAGGGGGAAGAGGAGGGGGAAGAGGAGGGGGGAAGAAAAGGGGGAAGAGGAGAGGGAAGAGGAGGGGGAAGGGGGGAGAGGGGGAGGGAAGGGAGCCTCTCGTCGCAATTTGACCATAAAAAGTGAAGTTCTCTCCTCCTCCTCCTCATCTCCCCCTTCCCCATTGCCCCTTCTCCTGGTCGGATTCATAGCTCAAACTCCAGTAATACCTAAGTACCATCTGATCTTATGAATGACTTGTGAAACGTGCATATATAACTTTGTGACAATATATATATTGTCACATTGTGAATCAGAGCGCAAAAAAGGGGAAAGAAAAAAGGAAAAGGAAAAAAGGGGGAGGGATCCAGATAGATTGCATCTGATCATCACCCGTCGTCATCCTCTACATCACCGCGTAATCTCAGTCGTCAGTGTAATTAATCTATCTAAGATATATATTGTCAGTGTAATTAATCTATCTAAGATATATATATGTACATATCATAAATATATGTACGTATATATACATCTTGTGTCGATCTCCGAAGAATAATCTAATAGATCGATGGTCGATGAGTAATTCTCTACTAATACGTGGTCGTCGTCGTCGTTGTCGTCGATCGGTGCAATAGATCGTAAAGCACTGGCCAGCGCCCTTTTCAAGATGGATAACCATCCCTAATCCCTTAAATAGATTCAGGGCCATCCCTAAACCCACGTGAAGACTTTTTCTACTACGCTCTGACGTGATTACGATCAGATGCATCCAAGTCTGGCAGTAATTGAAGTCGGATACATCGAGAAAAGTGCTTGAGTGAGGATTCCAGTCCAATACAGAAGATTAGATCACTTATCGTCTTTCTGTTGCTTCATTCGCTCCACCTCTCTCTCTCTCTCTCTCTCTCTCTCTCTCTCTCTCTCTCTCTCTCTCTCTCTCTCTCTCTCTCTCTCTCTCTCTGTTTGTGTGTGTGTGTGTCTCTGTGTGTGTGCGCGCGCGTGTACGAGCAATAGAAAACGGGGAGTGCATACAGACGAGTTGTTACGACCATCGATAAAGTGGACAACAAGGGCCGTAGACAGGGAAGCAGAGACAGAGCAGTGAGAGACACAGAGAGAGAGAAAGGGAAAGAGAGAGAGAGAGAGAACACGAGAAAGAGAGACAGGGCGGGAAAAAAATAATAGTAGCTCCTTTTAAGTAACTATAAACTAGATAGCTCCCGATGACGATAACAAACTGATCAACTAGACAATTCTCAGTTTTTCAAATCAAAAAAAAAAAAAAAAAGACATGATAACCCCAAAAAACTTGAAAAAAGAAAAGAAAAAACAGATAAACCTTGATAACACGTTGACGTACTTTCACGTACCTGAGCAATTGGTTTGCAACTTACACGATTATTTACATACAGCATTTCGCTGGGCGTTGGGCGTTGGGCGTTGGGCGTTGGGCGTTGGGCGTTGGGCGTTCGCCACCTCATCAAAAATTTTGCAGAACCATGTATATGAAACACGACGAAACCCTTAATTTGTTTTTCTCTCTATCAAAATGCAATCCATCATACAGCCTAGGTCAGACCGACCTTGCTATCAACCCAACGTTTTTTTACTCTTTTCTTTTCCGATTTCTTCTCCTCCCTCTCCTTCCCCCCATTTTAATTGCTTTTTCTTCTCCCATTCCTTTCATCTTTCCTACTTCCCTTCTCTCTCTGCCGTTATTGATAACGTATTCGTTTGCGATAATAATGTAAATTACTAAATTCTTGATATTTAAAGTCAGAAGAATCCAGATACTTCTTATTTTGACAGCGTCCAATGGAATTTGGATTCGTTGCTTTCGTCGAGAGATCGTAAGAAGGCGAGAAGGTCGAGGACAACAAGCCGGAAACGAGAACAAGAAAGAAAAGAGAGAGAGAGAGAGAGAAAGAGAGAGAACATGAAAATATAGAGAAAGTAAAGGACTCCATAGCCAAACTCAAAACTCACTAAGCAAAACAAAAAAAAAGAAAGAAAGAAAGAAAGAAAGAGAGAGAGAGAGAGGAACTCACCAAACCCCCTCTTCCGCCCAAGTAGATGGTGTTGAACTGATGTACGCCTGATGCCCCGCCGTCCGCCATCGCCGATGGCCGCAAAGATCGGAATCCCTACGTGGCGTGCTCCGATCCCGAGTACCGTCGGCTTTACAACCACTCTCTTCCTCCCTCTCCTCTCTCACCTTCCCCTTCCAACTACCCTCGACTGTTTTACCTCTCTCTCTCTCTGCTGTACCCTTCTCCACCCTCCTTCCTCACTCCCTCGGCGAAGGATGAAAACCACTCTCCCAAAAGATGCAGTGCGGGTACACAATCAACCGATTCCTTGGCCCAACGGATCATTTTCCCGGCTAGTCGATCGCTATCGGCCCGGTGCGTCGGCCGCAATGTCCCAGCCCTCCAACGTTGGGGTACCGATGTCCCATGCCCACAAAGTCCCGATGTCCCTGTTCCCAGTAACCCCGCCTAAAAAGACGAATTCGTTTCGTAAATATACGTCGGGGAGGTACGTACGAGGCAAGGCAAGGGTGACTAACTCCCCGAAATAGAAGGGCCAGCACCCCCCACGAAATTTGGAAGGGATATGTGTGTGCTATACCCCAAAAAAGAACCCCATTTTGTCTGTACCCAGAAATACTGCCCCTTTTTTTTTTTTCTTTTTTTTTTTTAAAGCTACCATACTGCCCCTTTCAGTTGTGCCCTTCGGACCTCCGAAACTACGATGGTACCCAGGTTCCGCGGCTGTCCAAATGTCAACTGTGCCCAGTTCCATGGGATTCCCGGACGGGCCCAAAAAAATTGTATGTGCTCAGGAATTGGGCATCCGTCTTATCTTTTGTGCCCAGTCATGTGGAGGTTTTCATTCAGTCAGTGTCTGTGTGTGCTTGTGTGAGTGAGAAAGAGAGAGAAAGCAGGAGGGGAGGAGGGGCAAAGGCAGGGGGACGCTGTCAGGCACACACAACGCCTCCCTTTGCCTCTCCACCTCCTCTTTGATTTTATCGCTCGCGGACAGTGGCATGAACTGTTGTCTGCCACACACACACATGTAGTTCAAACCAACACACGCGGCATGCCAGGGGGGAAGAGAGAGAGAGAGAGAGAGAGAGAGAGAGAGAGAGAGACCAAGGGGGAGCAGTTTACTGTGCGTCTAGGTATGGCAGATATTTGGTAGACAGGATCTGGGGTATAACGAAAACTCACCAGTACGAGATATCAAACAAATTTTCCATATCTAGTACGGGTATAATCGTAATATCAAGGGTCCTAATAGTGGAACCTTGAGCATAACCAAAAGTTGTACTGCAATTCCTCAACCATATTTGAAACCGGCGTTTTTAAACTCACTAGTACCTCCAGCCTGTTTTTGTCGACCCTTAATTTCACTGAGCACCGAAATTTGTCGAGCCTGGGTGTCATTGTGTTTTCTTTTCTGATACTCCTCATAAATTGGGGGGGGGAAGGGGGAAGGGACGGGAAAAAAAAAGTGAAAAAAAAAAAAAAAAAAAAAAAAGAAAAAAAAAAAAAAAAAAAAAAAAAAAAAAAAAAAAAAAAAAAAAAAAAAAAAAAAAAAAACAAAATCAAAAAAAAAAAAAAAAAAAACCACGAAAAAAAAAACAAACTATAAGGACATAAAAGCAACTGGATGCAGAATTTGGGGCACATACCCTCTCAACAGGCAATACAGCCCCGCTACGGAAGAAAAAAAAATTATACACTCTTTGGATGTGAAAAGCAAATGGATGCAGAATTTGGGGCACATGTGAGAGTGTGCCCTCCCAACGAGCATTACTTCATGCACTGTAGTCACGACAGCAGGAAAAATATGAATCAACTTATTGGACGTGAAAGCATGTGGATACATAATACGGAGTACAAGTGAGACTGTGCCGAAGTTACAAAGTTGTCAATTGTTTATGGAATGCGCAACGAGGCAGGGCACAAAAAAATAATGGAAACAAAACACAAAAACAAAGATACCCGGAAATGAAAGTACCTACTTTTCTCGGTAAATGTGTTACAAACAGTACAACTGTGAGCAAACCTCATTCACGTCCTTCCCTGACTTCCTCCCTTTCGACTCTGCCAGTTTTTTTTCTTTTTTTTTTTGCGATCGACCCACAAGGCCTAGATCTAAAGGCTTATCGACTTTCCGCAAAACTCCCGGAGACTTCAAGATTTTGGGAAACTGACAGTTTTTTTTTTTTTTTTTGCATGCCGGAGGTACTAGTAGTTTAAAGGCCAGAAGTGTAAAAAACCTTATAAATTATATATATATATATATATATATATATATATATATATATATATATATATTGTCACAAACATAACTGTCCGGTAAACCGTAGGCACAGAGAGAGAAGAGGACAACAAACGAGGGGATACCAGGCAGTTCTATTTGACGATATATATATATATATATATCATTCAAAAGAGTTTAACTTATTTTTGATAACTCAAATATGCAGGGTGTTGTGTTGACACACGTATAATGCGTTCACGACTGGATTTGGGGAAAAAACATCGTCATATATAATCGAGCAAAAAAAAAAATATTGGAGTTTTTTCAAAACTCAAAAACTATATTGCACGCATTATTTAAAAATAATGTAGCCTCATCTCGCTACTAAAGGTTACAAGGTCCTATTGACGTATATTATGAAGATCGATAGTAAAAAATGGTTGCAAGTAGGACCTTGCCCCAGGTCGTACAACATTTATGTCACAATTTTAAACTATTTTTCTACATGTTCACAAAATACCCATAAGATTTTAAACTGAGTACTGTGAGTAACTACACCGATACCCATAAATTTTAAAATATTTTTCAATATTTTTACAAAATACCTATAAATTTTGTTGACATATTCATAAAAATACTCATAAGTTTTTTTAATTGAATAATTATCGATTCTTTATATTTTTAATTTATAATTGCAGACTAGGCTACCAGGGTGGTCCGGGACCACTTGTCCGATCGGGCAAAAACACAATTAAAAAATTAAACATAAAAATTATTTTTGAAATTTATTGTTTATTTAAAATTTGATTAAAAAATTCGATGTGACCCTGAGACAAAAGTTGTTCAGTTTATTTTTTTGCATAACATAGTTTGTTTTCGTTGTTTTTTTAGTTTCTTTTATTTTTATTTATTTTTGCTTCAATGTTCCTTGATCCTTGCACGGTTGGGCCACCGGGGAAAACAGGGTGACCCGGGCGGCCCGACTGGTAGCATAGATTGCAGATTATTAATATCAATAACCAAATAATGGACTTTTGCAAGTGGGTATTCATCTGTTAGCAACATAATCAAATTGTTGTTAGGTCAAACCCAATCTTACATAACTTTTGCTAAGTCGTTAAATTGAAAAAATATAACAGACAATTTTTTAGGTCGTGAAATCCAATTATCATTAACCACTAGTACCTTTGCCGCTTGGAAAAATAGCCAGTTTGAGAATATTCAGGAGTTTGGATTTTCCCTATTTTCCCACGCGAGAAAGGTACTAATGGTTTAATAAAACCAAAATATAACAAAAAGTCTCCAATAACTATCACGAAGAAGGGCATACCTTATGTGTCTATAAAAACAGGAAATTTATCATAAATAAATTGTTTTTATCAATTAAAAACTACACATCTTCATTTTGAGATAAATTCTTTAGTTGATCATTTGTATTTGGATTCTCATTATTAAACAACAGAAATAGCGACATACGATAATAAGTCGGTTAAGATGTTATTTAAGCGGTAGGCAATTGCAACGATTATAAAAAACTACAGATAACTTCGGCGCCGTCACAAAAACAGTTTGTAATTGCATTCGAAACTGCGTTTTAGCAGTTTAGTCAGGGTCCGAGTTTCAATTGCAGTTAAAACTCGACCGTATGCAGTTCAGTCAGGGCCCTCGTCTATCCACGAACAACAGATAAAAAAAATAAAATAAAAGAATCCCTTATGCTTTGATTGCGGTCTGATACAGGATGTTACAGTACCTGCTGAAGCGAGGCAGTTAGCTGCCTCGTGTGGAATCCGCCCTGCCTGGCTGGCAGGGTGCTACAAGGACCTGACAACAAGAAACAAAAAAAGAAAATGACATGTTTCATGTTCCCCACTTCCTGGCCAGATACATTCCTCAAAGCACTGGTGACCTGAGGGTCTTCCCGACGTAGGTATATTCGAAGTTCTTCCTTTTTTTAGTTTTTTAGTTCTTTTTTTTTTCTTCTTCTTGTTTTGGCCTCCATCCCTGCCTCGAGCCCCCCACTTCTTTGGAGTATGCTACTCTTGAGACTTCGCGTTTGCCTGTGAAGGGTAGTGCCTGCGAATCTCGGCCCTGCCCAATCTGGGGCGTGGCCGAGACATCTTGGTCGTGGCCAGTCTGCAGTGTGGCCGAGACATCTCGGCCGTGGCCAGTCTGGGGTGTGGCCGAGATATCTCGGTCGTGGCCCAACTATGGAGGTTTTTTTTTTTCCCACCCGCAGAACGGCGCGGCGCTGTCGGGCGCATCGGTCCGGCACCGCACGGGGGCAGCGCGGGACCCTCCCGACCGCGTCACGCAGGAGTTGGTTTTAAATCCTTCGTCGCCATATACATGGAGCTTCCACAAGCCGCTCTGGCCGAGTGCGCCAGCCATACCTCTCGCGAGCCCCTACGATAGGATAGGGCCTACGCGAGGCACGACTTACCTACACTTTACGGGAGCT